TGGACGGGGCATCTGACTGATGTACTGACAAGGGGGCCGTAGAGCGGCTCGTAGATCTTTTATTTTCCCTTCGATTCCCTCATCTGCCATCTGGGTTTTTGTCAGTATGGCTTATTATTATTATTATTATTATTATTTATTATTATTATAATAATTACTATTATTATTATTTATATAATTTATTATTATTTTTAATTATTATTATTATTATTATTATAATTAGTATTATTATATTATTATTATTATTATAATAATTATTATTATTAATATTATTATAATAATAATTATTATTATTATTATTATTGTATAATTATTATTATTATTATTATAATTATAATTATTATTATTATTATTATTATTATCTTTATTATTATTATCGCTATTATTATTATTATTATAAATATTATATTATGATTGTTATAATCATTATTAATATTATTATTATAATTATTATTATTATTATAAATATTATTATTATGATTGTTATAATTATTATTCTTATTATTAGTATTATTATTATTATAATTATTATTATTGTTGTATAGAGAACCACCGCTCTAGCAACTATGTGTGACTTAACCAAGGCTTTTGACTGTGTAGACGCAGTTATACTGCTTGACAAATTGGAGTACTATGGGATCCGTGGCAAGTCATCACAGCTTATGAGATCATACTTAGCTAATAGGAGACAGATGGTTAGCCTTGATGGAGTAGAATCCCAGGTTGTACCGATTACGAACGGGGTACCCCAGGGCTCTGTCTTGGGCCCTCTATTATTTTTAATCTACATCAATGTCAACAATAGCAAATGCTACCTATTTGCAGACGACACTACTCTGCTCTCCAAGGCTACCCAACTTGACGAGGCCCACAGTCTCGACCAGGTTAAGCGGTGGTTCTCCGCAAACAAGCTCAAACTTAATGAAGCGAAAACCAGCAAGCTAAGAATAACATCAGACAAATGGAATGGGACTTCATCATCCGTAAGTTATTAGGGATCGTTGTGGATAGCCGCTTGACCTGGTCGGAGCATGTGGACCAGGTTTGTACCATGATTTCCAGACAGATGTTTATCATGCGGCAACTGGCTCAGTGTTTGCACAGACAAACCATGAGAACTGTATACTTTAGCCTCATTCATAGTCATCTGTCGTATGGTATCATCCTCTGGGGTAATTCTGTCAATGCCCAAAAAGCATTACAATGCAAAAGGCTGCTATACGGATTGTAGCTGGCGTCTCCTACGATCATAGCTGCCGCGGTTTGTTCAAAGAGATGCGCATACTGCCGTTAGCATGCCTGCTCATACATGAGACCCTTTTACATGTTCACGCAAACCTGAGTACTTTTTCGATAAGATCAGAGACACACAGCTATAATACAAGATACGCTAATGATATATCATTACCGCAATCTAGGATCGCCATGACACAACACAACAAGATTAATGTGTCGCTTTACAATAACTTTGTTAGATATCATAAGCGGTAAAATATTGAGAAGATGTCTAACAAACAGTTCTCTAGGTTTGTCAAAAACTATTTGTTAAGAAACTGCTTCTATACTGTAAGTGAATATTTAAGTGCATGTGATCCTAGTGATCAGTGATCGTGTGTAGAGCAAGAAGACAGACTCTGTATAAACTTTATCTAGTTTGTGACTTCAAACATATATCTCTATGTATAGGTGGTCAATAAATCGTATGGTATGTATGGTATGGTATGGTATTATTATTAATATTATAATAATTATAATTTATTATTATTATTATTATAATTATTTTATTATTATTATTATTATTATGATAGTTATAATTATTATTATTATTATTATTATACTAACTATTATTATTATTAATATAATAATAATTACTATTATTATTATAACTATTATTATTATTATTATTATTATAATAATAATTATTATTACTATTATGATTGTTATAATTATTATTATGATTATTATTATTATTATAATTATTATTATAGCTATTATTATTATTATTATTATTATTATTATTATATATTATTATTATTATTATTATTATTATTATGATTATTATTATTATTATAATTACTATTATTCTTATTATTATGATAATGATAATTATTATTATTATTATGATATTTCTTATTATTATTATTATTACTATTATTATTATTACAATTATTATTATTATTATTATTATTATTATTATTGTATTATTATTATAAATATTATTATTATTATTAGTATTATTATTATTATAATTATTATTATTGTTATTATTATTATGATTATTATAATTATTATTATTATAATTATAATTATTATTATTATTATGGTTATTTTTTTTTTTTTTTTAAGCCCACAGCGGCATCGACTGCTAAGGCCATTAGCCGCTTTCCTCCTGCCCATATGGTCAATTGCCACATTCACCACAGGGGTAAATCTGGGTGATTCGATGTTATGTGATGTAGCTCAGATTTTTTGAATACATAAAAAAGAAGAACAAACATATAAATTAACTTATTACAGACAAACACAGAAAAAAAATGTAAATAAGAATACCCACATACGCGTGGGTACCCTGTATTTACTTACTTATCCGACACCAGTGCTTCCTTATCTATCATAGACCTACAGCTATCTAATATATTTCTACATAGTAGTATCTTATTTAATAACGTTATACTTTACGGAAAAGCTTGGTAGATTTAAGGAAATTCAATGTATCTCCTACGTTGGCATTAGAGGATAAACAACCTTTTAAATCACCAGCTATGTTGTGTGCTCTTCTAGCAGCTATGTATGATGGGCACTCGATCAGTATATGCTTCCAAGTAAGCAATTCATTACACGTCTCACACCTTGGTGGTGGATTACCTAAAAGTATGTGGGAATGTGTAAGAATTGTGTGACCTATTCTCATTCGCGTAATTACGACCTGCTCTCTACGAGTCAGATGGGGAAGATTCCATTTTGTTACGTTCGGCTTGATCGTCTTCAAAAAATGGTTTGTTGAGTTCCATTCTTGCTGCCATTCATTAAGTAGCTGCAACCTCATGAATTTTTTCACGTCTTCAGGCACGACTGGTATGTTGAGGTATTCTTCCATTGTGGCTTCCTTGGCAGCTGTATCTGCTATTTCATTTCCATGGATTCCTACGTGTGCTGGCGTCCACACATATATGACCTGTGATTTCTTCTGTTGGAGCTGGTAGGTGGTCAAGAGAATCTCTTGAACTAAGGGGTTTTTACTTAATTTGTCAGAAATAGTTTGCAGTGAGCTCAAAGAGTCACTGCAGATTATGTATAAGCCCTGTTCCTCATCATCAATCAATTTTAGGGATTGAAGTATTGCGTATAATTCCGCTGAGAAAATTGAGGCCATTGGACTTAGGCGCCATTTGCGGGTTATCTCCGTAGTTGTTAATGCACATCCTATGCCCCCTTCGGTTTTAGACCCATCCGCATAAATTATTCTCCTTACGTTTTGGTATTTACCAATTATATCAAGAAATGTCTGTTTATAAAATGTAGGATTGGTGTGGCCTTTTTTGTATTTGGCGCATTCGAAGTTAACTTCTGGGAGTGACAGCCTCCATACAGGGCAATCTATGTATTTAAGACTATAGGTTGGGGGCATCTGAGTTTCTAAATCCTCGAGTAGCTTATGGATGCGGGCACCTGCGGGCTTTGTGATGGATGGTCTAGACCGATAAATTGAAATTTCTTCTTCCTCAAATAATATATTGTGGTTAGGGTGCTGGGGTTGTGCCCATATTTTTACGCTATAGTTCAGTAGCAGCTGCTGTATTCTGTAGCTTAAGGGAGGTATGCCTGATTCACAAAAAACGGACGCATTCGGTGATGTCCGGAAGGCACCAATGCATAACCGTATACCCTCCTTGTGTATTCTCTCTAATCTACTTAGATGGGATTGTCTTGCTGCTGAGTATACTATTGCTCCATACTCAAACTTGGACATGACTATTGATTTATATAATGAGAGCAACACATCCCTGTCTGCTCCCCAACTGATGCTTGAGAGACATTTAATAATATTTAAGGCCTTTTTACTTTTGATTACGAGTTCCTCTATATGATTCTTCCAGTATAATTTATCATCCAGGGTAATGCCTAATATGTTTATATGGTGTCTGTTAGCTATAGGTGTGCCTTTCAAAGTTAGAGCTGGTGGGTCATGATGTCTCCTTAGCCTGCAAAAATGTATGCATGCTGATTTCTGTGGAGAGAAGGAGAAACCCATTTTTTCGGCCTCGTAAGCTAATGTATTTATGGATGTCTGCAAAGTACCTACTATATCTTCCATTTTGTCTGCAGTAAAAAATATTGTTAAGTCGTCAACGTATATACATTTCCCGACTTCTATTGGCACTTTTTCGATTAGCTTATTTATAGCCACAAGAAAAAGGGTCACGCTTAGAGTTGAACCTTGGGGAATACCGTTCTCTTGTCTGTATGATGCTGAAAGTTCTTTTCCAATACGTACTTTAAAATACCTGTGTTCTAGGAAGCCTGCAATGAAACGTAGTATGTATCCTCTTATTCCCCATTCATGCAGTGTTTTCAGTACGCCAAGCCGCCATGTAGTGTCATATGCTTTTTCAATGTCAAATGATACTGCTACTGTATGTTGCCTTTTAGCAAAGCTTTTTTGAATGGCTGCTTCCAGATAGACTAGCTGATCTGTTGTTGATCTATACCTACGAAAACCCATTTGATATTTTGACAATAATCCATGTTTCTCTAGGTACCATATAAGCCTTAAGTTTAACATTTTTTCTAGTATTTTACTTGGGCAGCATGTTAGAGATATGGGGCGGTAGTTATTGGGATCCTTACTGTCTTTACCAGCTTTCGGGATAGGAATGATGATTGCGTTTTGCCACTGTTTTGGGTAAGTACCTTCTATCAATATTTTGTTATATAGTTCTAGTAGTTTTTGTTTTTCACTTACAGGTAAGTGTTGTATCATTTCATAGTGTATAGTATCTGGACCAGGTGAAGAGCTTTTGACCTCAGCGAGTGCGTACTCCAGTTCATCCAAAGTTACAGGAAGGTTATATTCAGATATATTTTCCTGGTCGAAGTCAATTCCCACTTCTTCTGCTTCATTTTTTTGTTGGATGAAGTTGTCAGCATATCTTTCAGTCCCACTATTTATTTGAAATCGTTGTGCCAAAGTATTCAAGATTTCGTTCTTTTCGGATATTTCTTGGTTATTAACGATGAGAATAGAACTTGGTAGAGTTAATGATCTTCCACTTATAGCTCTTATCTTTGACCAAATTTCTGAAGTCGGGGTCTCAGAGGTTATTGAGGAAACATAATTTTTCCACGATGCTTTTTTGCTTTTCCCTTGCACTTGGTTCGGTTCATATCCTGAATGTTTACTCCATTGGCCTTTTACCATGCAACTGATCCTGCACTTGTCTAAGCCAAACAGCATCTTGATGTCAGTGCTTACCCAGTCCAGAAGCTTATGAAGATGTTCTTTGGTTTCTGCAAAAAGTTTGAGGTCATCCATGTACCAAAGATGTGAAATGCGTGTTTCATTGCCACCTAACAGTATTCCTTTCTTTTGGCTATTTAGCATTGTTGTTAACGGTCTAAGCGCTAAGCAGAACCATAGCGGACTTAAAGAGTCTCCTTGAAATATTCCTCTATTGATGGATACCTCTCCGGCACTAAATTGCGTATCTTGGGTGTTGAGATAGAGCTGTGTCTTCCAATTCGCCATAGCATGTGCCAGAAATTGTTTGATGTGGCACTCGATCCCATAAAGGTCAAGCAACTCTAACTGCCAAGAGTGAGGTATACTGTCAAACGCTTTCTGATAATCGATGTATGCAATGTGCAGGGATATTTTTTTCTTTTGGCATAATTAGTTATGACAGAGTCTATAACAAGTTGCTCTTTACAGCCTCGAGACCCTTTTCGGCAACCTTTTTGCTCTTCGTCTAGTATAGTATTCCGCTCTAGGTGTGAAAATATCTTTCAGTAATTATAGCAGTCAATACCTTGTAAATAGTCGGCAGACAGGTGATTGGTCGGTATTTTGCCGGATCGTTAGAGTGACCGCCGCACTTTGGGATTAAATATGTTATTCCCATTGTTAAGAACTCTGGTAACATATCTGGTTGCTCTAAGATTGAGGTGTAACACTTTGCGAGTCGATCGTGAGCCGAAGTGAACGTTTTTAGCCAATAATTCTGAAGCTTATCTGATCCTGGGGCTTTCCAGTTTGGTAATTTTCGTAAAGTATTTACCACGTCAGCTAAGCTAACTTTCCAGTCGAGCATGGACCTAAAAGTTGAATTATTTGCTTTCTCTTGGCGGTACCATTTAGATGTGCAATGATTGATGGATTGCTCCAAATTCCTGACCAGAAGGTGTTGATGGCATCTGAGGTAGGAATCTGAACGTTGTTCTGTTCTGTATCCCTCCGTCGCGCCTGCAAGTTCCTGTAAAAGCCTCGCTGATTGGTCTCGAATGCTCGATTTTGTTTCCGGCGTTCGTT